ATAAAAGCCAGATTGTAAATCCTTGTGAAGCATGTCAGACTCAGACTTGAAGCTTCTATGTAAAATTCAGAGTCAGCTGAAATGATGCTGTTGCATGTATCTTGTACAAACTTTGAGTTGGATGGATGGATTTAAGAAAATAGTTGTCCCTTTAGCCTTTGGTTGGCATTGTTTTTGCTGTCTCACGTAAAGTGCATTTTGTCAGCCCTTAGAGATCATTGTGATGTTAGTTTTTTCTGGAGCTTTAAGTCTGACTGACCTATTTGTGAAATCTTTGCTGCTGAGCTAACTTATCACTAGATTTACATATATTCTTCAATGCTGTTAGATTATAAACTCTTGCCAGCTAAGACTTGAACAATGAATCCTATCAACTTATTGTGCCCAGAATGGCTAGATAACCAAAAACTTAAGGTAGTCTGAAATTCTTCTGAATTCATGGACGGATGAATACCCCATGGACATGATCATGGAGTAGGCGAATGGCATAAGGAATTTCTTCTTTATTCTTGTCATTTTTGAAGGTTAATACTAAAAGTTATGTGGAACTAATGAAAAGGAGGGGAGCAGAGATGGTAAGTAAAGGCTTTTGGAGGATGGGCTTTCATTTGTGGCTCACTAAAGTAATGGACTGAAGCAATACGAAACTTGCTGTCTACTTCAAGCTTCTTATTATCATTACTTGACATTAATCATTTTATGCTCTTCCCCTGTTGCTTCTACAGGAGACCTACCACAGTGGAGGAAATTCTTACCATTGAAATCAAGCCCGGGTGGAAAAAAGGGACAAAAATCACTTTTCCAGAGAAAGGCAATGAACAACGAGGTGTTATACCCTCAGACCTTGTCTTCATTATTGATGAGAAGCCTCATAGCGTGTTCAAGAGAGATGGCAATGATCTTGTTGTCACTCAGAAGGTATCTCTTCTTGAAGCTTTAACAGGTTACACAGCCCAGGTAACAACACTTGATGGACGGAATCTGACTATCCCCATAACTACCATCATCAGTCCAACCTTTGAAGAAGTTGTTAAAGGGGAGGGAATGCCTATTCCCAAAGAACCTTCAAAGAAAGGGAACTTGAGAATTAAGTTCAACGTTAGGTTCCCATCCAAGCTTACAACAGAGCAGAAAACTGGCCTGAAGCGATTAATTCCTTAAAAATTGGTGGTAAACCTTTTTACCATCTGCCAACTAATGTAAGTTAATACTTATTTTCTTTGTTATTTTTTCATTTTTTTTCCAAAAGAAATTCATATGTTATGAATTGGATTCTCATTAACAGTTATTTAGGATTTGATGAATTGTCTCTTCCACTGCCTGGACCATTCTTTTCCAATTATTATTATTATTATTATCATTATTATTCTGTCATTGTTACAAGTTGCAGCTTCTTGTATAGCTACTTCTATAGCTACTTGCATTCCATTCATCATGGAATTGAAATTAACATCCAAAATGACTGGTGGATCAAGAAAGTTGTTAAAAGTTCTTTTGACTTGAATGTATATCCGCTAGCTCCCAACTGCAAAGTCTCTTAGATCATTATCATGATGACCTCCCTATTGATTAGTACTGATTACACAGCTGTTTGAGAGGGTCTCTCAATTTAACCATTTGATGTCAATTTGACAAGAAGTCATTAAAAGCGGATTGCAAATGGATTGATTCATATTTGGATAATTCACTTATGGTAAGTTTTAGTTTACCTACTACATGAAGGACACAATTGTATTGTATACTTTTTCCAACTCTCAGTCTCATTAACCTAGTTACGTAATTTACTTCCAGTTCTTGATGCGAACATTTGAGTTGTAAATTAAAAAGAATATAGCCTTTAAAACCCAAAAAAAAAAAAAAAATGAAGGAGATATTATCCAACTTTTTAAGAAACAAAATTGATATTGAACCAAAATGTCAAGGAAAATTATACACCACTGGATAACAAAACAGTCCTTCTATTTAACTCTAATTGACTTAAAAGTTTTTTTTTTTTTTTTTTCAATAAAGTAATGATTTAATAATTAATTAATTAAATTTTATATTTATTTTTTAATTAATTACAACTAAAATATATTATAAATTTTATAAATTTTAACGCTTAGAATTAGAAAGTAAACTAACTAAAGTTGTACGGAAATGATTAAATTTTGAGTTGGTGGTGCCTTGTGAATAGCAAAATGGAGGGGGCGCGGTTAGCAATTATTCTCAGCAATTAGCGTCAATTACAATTTCCAGAGTCTCCGTTTTCCAGCATCCACGTTTGCATGCGGATCTTTACATCTGTGTCTCTGTTTTCTTCTCCTCTTCTCTTACCCATCCCTTCATGTTCTCAACTCACAATCCTAATTTCTCCAGTAGATTCAACTCCCAACTCTAATTTCCAGATCTCCCTCCTTCCCCATGGAAATGGCTTCTAACCCTCGAACCGTTGAAGACATCTTCAAAGATTACAGTAGTCGAAGAGCTGGCCTCGTTCGTGCTTTGACTTCCGGTAATTCCCACTTCCCTCTTTCTCCCTCTCTAAATTTTGTATCTGAACAGCTTTCATGACGGTGGTTTTTTTTTTTTTTTTTTTTGTCTTCCTTCCAGATGTAGATGAATTCTATAGCCTTTGCGATCCGGGTATGTGTTAATGGAGATCAGAGCTCTGAATTTTTTTTTCTTAATTTCACAATTATGTAGCTTTTCCTCTTGCTTGTTGATTTGGGTCGAGCGAGTTTTTATCATTTTGGTCTTCCTAAATATACAATTAGGTTGAATTTGGAAAATTTTACAGACCTCAAATCTATAGAAATTTCATAGGAGATATCTAAAAAGGAATCTGGGTTTTGTGAAATCAACTTTTGGGTTATTGGGTCTTTAGCGTTTTATGTATATTCATTCACGAATGCCTTTCTGCTTTGATCTTTGTTTTGGTTTAGATAAAGAAAATTTGTGCCTTTATGGGCATTCAAGTGAGAAATGGGAAGTAAGCCTTCCAGCTGAGGAAGTTCCACCAGAGCTTCCAGAGCCAGCCCTTGGGATTAATTTTGCAAGAGATGGAATGAACCGCAAAGACTGGTTGTCCTTGGTTGCGGTGCACAGTGATTCGTGGTTGCTTTCTGTTGCTTTCTATTTTGGAGCACGTCTTAACCGGAATGAGAGGTACAATTAGGTTTTCTAGTTTACCACTTTGTTGTTAAACAGTTGGAATTGAAAGTATATTGTCCTTTCCTCAATTTGTTCATTTTCATTTTGGATTATTGATTGAAACAGTTGAATTGTGATCACGAATAGGCATTCTTCTGTTCAACAGTTGATGGCCTAATTCTTCCATTTTTCTTAATGTCTCTTAAATGTACTTCACTGATATTCCTCAGTTTTCCATTCACTTTTGCTACCGTGCATTTCTTAATCCGGTATAAGGATATATGTGATGAATATTTAACCAAAAGACTTGTGAGATGCTTCTTTATTACCCTTTTCTGAGTTACATCCACTGTATTAGAACTAGAACCATTATGGAGATGCTAAGAATTATTGATACATAGCACAATACGCCACAGAAAGACATGCTATAGGATGTGAGTTCAATGTACTCTTGCCATGCATACAACTGCACACATAAACTGCTTCTCTAACTGTAGTTTTTGTAGTTTGTGCCTTATCTAGTACAGTTGATTTGAGCTACAAGTTGATGTGAGGCCACTGCTGAAGTAAATAAAGTAGTTATAAACTTATGATTGCCTTTTCGCTGGTGTTTTGAACTAGTTTGGCAGAGTAGCAACTTGATGATATGTGTGCATATTTTCATGTTATTCTTGATTGTTTACCAATACAATTTATATCTGTTACATTCTTCTTGACAGGAAACGGCTATTTAGCATGATTAATGATCTGCCGACAGTCTTTGAAGTTGTAACAGAAAGGAAGCCTGTTAAAGATAAACCCAGTGTCGATAGCGGAAGCAAATCTCGGAGCAGCACAAAGGTTAGATTAAATTTGGTTAGAACTTCTTATCTATCTATTCAGTTTTCTTCTCAAGGAAGCCAATGAAAAGCATTTCTCACTTAATCCTCTTTTCTCACAATAGAACGGTTAAAAAGAGAACGATCATTATAAGAGTAGCATATTGAAATATGCCTTCAAATTTCCACAAAGAAGACATGCCAAGGTGTTGCTTTAGTTTAAAACAAGAGAAAGCCTTTTCTTGAGCTGCAAGAAAGAAAAGACTTGCTGTTTCTTAATGGGTTCCTTGTCTGTTGTAGAGATCAAGTGATGGACTAGTGAAAAGCAATCATAAGGTCTTGGATGAGAGTTATGAGGAAGAAGAAGACGAACATGGGGAAACACTCTGTGGCAGCTGTGCTGGAAATTACAGTGCAGATGAGTTTTGGATTGGCTGTGACATCTGTGAGAGGTGGTTCCATGGAAAGTGTGTTAAGATAACACCTGCAAAAGCTGAGAGCATTAAGCAATATAAATGCCCATCATGCAGCCTGAAGAGGGGCAGGCAGTAGTCACTGCTACACCAGAAAGGAAAAGAAAGGAGATAAAGATATGCTCTTTCAGTGGCACAAAGTAGCATACCACATAACTATCGGTTAATGTAATATTATCATTTGGTTATCGAAATGCCTGTTTATAATAGATTCTATCAACCAAACGGAACTTCTCTTTTCGTAAGTGTTAACTTATGTATTGGAATTATCTAATTTATAGAAGTTTTTGGATGAAACTTTCATGGTCATTGTGTATTTCTCTAAGTTTCTTTTAAATTCATCCAATCATTTGTTAGCTATGATGTAAAACTCTCAATATTGAGAATGTCTATTTGCGTTCGATCGTGAAATTTGAGAATGATATATAAACTCTAAAGAATGTCAGGTTGGAGAAGTTTTGAGTTTCTTATGCATCTGTTCCAACTTGGAGAAGTAGCGTTCCTTATGCATCTGTTCCTGCTTGGAGAAGTAGTGTTCCTTATGCTTCTCCATCTGTTGCTGCTTCATGGAAGTTGATGTTGATTAACTCAACAAGCAAAGCATGATAAACAGGTTGGAGCTAAACTCACCGTTTTTTTTTTTTTTTTAGTGTTTTTCTGGTCAATTAAGATTTACATATGAACCCAAGAACAGGAAAAACCTCACAAAAACTAAAAATTCTTCAACTGGGTCTATTGTGTGTGGCCCGGAGTGGGTGTTGGGCCTAATCCCAACAAAACCCAAATAGTATAACGAGAAAGAGCAGGAGGTACAAAAAGGCCCATATAGTTGATCCTGGAGATGACGATATACTTCCAGCACACACATCACAATCAAAGGATTCAAAGCATGCATCTTTTCGGGTTTGCATACATTACAATTCCACACTCTTATGTAACACTTGAGAAATCAATTATTTTTAAGGACGATTAATTATTTGAGTCTGGCACTTTACATTCTGAACTGTAAAAACACCTTTTTCGTTACCATTTACTAGATGCAATAGTCATTTGGTGGGGGATTATGTATAGGACTTCAAGGACTCAACTTGTTCCTTGCCGTTGGGACCCTTTGTCCTGATGTAAAGTCTGTATTCATTAAATGTCATCGGCTTATACTGCGCTGGCCGCTCCTTCGTCACAAGTTGCTTCAACGGTTCAATCAGCAGATCACCCTTGGGGTTATAGAAGAAAGACAGGGACACGCGATCTTTAGCCGAATTTACAATCACACGGTGTTCCGCACTCTTGTAAATTCCATTGCTCAGTACCTAAAAATATGTTTATAGACATCATTGTAACATATATAATCTCCATTAAAATGGTCAAGCAAGTACCAGATGTGGGCCCCACAGTTGCAGCAAGGCCACATGTGGAAATATCAGGTCAAGAAGAAAATTAAGAGGAAAGTTCAACTGAAATAGACCTGAATCTGATCTCCCAAGTTGATAATGAAGGCATTGGGGACAGGCTTAACGGTGAGCCAGTTGCCATTCCGGCGAACCTGAAGTCCGTTGACGTTAGTATCTGGTAAGAGGATGGCCATGCCGCCGGGATCGGAATGTGGGGAGAGGCCTAGAGTGAGATCCGGTTGAGGACATTTTGGATAGATATTCGCCCTTAAACAGGCACCAACGTTTTCATCTCCACCAAAGGCGTTCAGAAGATAGTCTTCTTCTAGTCCAAGATTTGTGGACAGTATTTTCAGTAGTCTTCCACCCAGTTTAACAACTTCAGCACCAAATTCAGCCACTAATTCCCTGCATATGCATATGATGATCAGCAATTGACCTTCCCTTTTTTCCTTTTTTTCTTGGAAGAGCATCAGCTATTGAGTTTAAGACTTCATTAGGCCAAAAAAATCTTACACTTAACGGATTTTACAAGTTAGATTTTAATCAAACTCAAATTTACGTTGTACTTGGAAGAGTTGAGCTCAAACTCGACTTTAAGGTACTCGCCAAGCTACTCAACTCATATATATGTTCTTTAAATTGAAACGAGCTCTTGAGCTCATTTACTAAATTTTTTTTATCAAGGTATTAGAGGGATACATAGGAACTCGAGTTTGAACTCATAAGTTTCTCAGATAATCCAAGATTGAGATCAAACTTCGGTTTTTTTTTCTTAAAACTATATCAAATTAAGTTTGAATTAGGTCGAAGTGCACAATACTCGACTAAGTAATTATTAACACCCTAAATTGGGTGGTCACAAAGTAATTTCTAGTTTTTCAACATTGCTAATGGGTCACACAACTAATATATTAACTTCAATTCGGAACCCTAAGCAGTCAAATTAAGGGCTCTCCATGTACATGCGTATATACTCTTGGCTTCATACATACTCAACCGATCTTAGAACAAGCACTGATATATGAAGTCATGATCTTCTATATATAGAGATGTTAATTAACTTCTAGAACTACCTATCCTAAAGTACCAAAAATAAAAAAGGGAAGAAGAAGAAGAGAAGAGGGACAAAAAGGACATTAACGTTTATCGATCAATAATCCAAAGAAAACATGTTGTATGGACAGATCATGCAAACCTGAGAGACGGTGGCAGAGCAGGCCACTTGCTTTCCTTCCTCAACGAAGTCGGTAAGTAATGGAGAAAGAAATAATCGCTCCAGTCAAGAACTGCCCCCTTCTCCACTCCAAGCCGGCTACCGTACCCTTCGTAGGTCCTCGGTTCATTTGCGTACTCCTGCTTCAGTTCAAGCGGTAAGTTAAAGAAGTCGCGCCACACCTCAAGCGCGCTCCTCATCAGCTCAGGGCTAATCCCATGGTTCACAACCTGGAAGAACCCCCACTCACGGCAGGCCTTAGAGATGCTGCTCAAGGTCTGGCTCCGGAGGGTCCGGTCATTGCTTAAAAGGTGTTGGAGGTCTATGAGGGGAATGTTTTCGTGTTTGTTTGTTAGCAGAGGAGTATCGTTTGTGAAGGGGCGATCGGATATTGGCTTGATATACCTCTCCGGGATGGTTCGTATGCCGCTCTCAGCTAGGGACTGGACTCGGACAATTGGCTCCGGCCAACTCTGAAGACAATTCATGGCTAAGAGAGGATAAGAAATAAGTGTTTGATTTGTGTGTGGCTATATGGTGCGAAGAATATAGAGACTTTCAAAGGTTTAAATAAGGATTGGAGGGAGCAGACTTCGCTACCGTGATATTGCTGCGCCAATTTGCTGTATTTGTGTTGCTGTATTAAGAATTAAAGAAATAAATTTTGATTTTTATCTGTGTACAATCAATTTTAATGATCCGTACCCATCACTTTTTTCTTTTAAAAAAGTAAAGTTTTACTTGATGGATCTAAACTGGATGATAGAATGATTTCCATGAAATTAGCCAAATTAAAGTCCCACATAATATACTCATGTTATTAAAAAAAAAAAAAAAAAACCTCATCATTCAATTGCTTTCATTTGAGTATATTTTTCGGTTGCCTTACCTTTTAGTTATATTTTTATTTTTTTATTATCATAAAAGTATATAAAATATTAATTAAGATAAATATTAGATATATTTTTATAATATTAAAAAATAAAAAATCCTATAACTAGAGTTAAATGACAACACTCTCAAACTAAGTTTATACGGTATAGTTTTTTAGTGAAATAAAATAAAGATGTAATAACTAACTAATAAAATTTTATATTTATTTTTAACTATTTATTATTTAAATAAATTTTTTATTTAATATATAGTATAATCATCTTTTTAAAAATAAAAATAAAACAAAAATAAATGTATTAAATTATATCCTAAAAAATTAAATTTAAAATACCACAAATTAAAAATTAATTTTACAGAAGTTGAACGGATGAGGGGAGTAATAAACAACAACATGAGGGAATATTAATGGAGCTTACCACCATAAGAGGAAAAAAGAAATCAGAAAGCCTTGATTTTAAAAATATCTGTTCCGGCCTGATCATAACTACAAAATAATTGATACATGTTAATTCCGATGAGTCTCATTCATTTATTTTGCAGATAGGACTAGACTACCGATATATTTATTCTTTGAGATTTTGAATTAATTTCCTCCTGGATTACACACCCGTAGCACTTGATGCAGTGGATAGGGTGTGTATATTCCAAGGCTATGACCTTGGTTTTAATCCCCCCCTCCCCCAAAATTCCCCTATGTTCAAAAAAAAAAAAAAAAAAAATTCCTCCTGGATTGTTCTAGTCCATTAAGCAAATGTAGGGTCGTACCCAGCTGATGTATCCAACAACCATGTTTAACACGTTTACAAATACCAATTATTCAGGTAATAATAAGACCGTGTGTTTTTATTATACATCCACATATTTATTATTTCTTTATTTTTCAAATTTGAAACTTCTTAGACATCTCTGTTTAAAGTGTACAGACTTGTCTAAATAATGTCTTTGTTTCGTGTAAGATATTTTAATATTGTATTATGAACCTATGATTGTGATTAAATACAAGGACTGTTCTGGTCTTCATTGATATAGATTAAATTGACTAGCAGACTTGTGTGGGGGATAAATTATTGAGTTTGTTTGACAGAATTACACATAGATCTTATATATATATATATGCTTGAATAAGGATTTATTTATATATAAATATTATATTTTATATTTATATAATTTTTTTTTTACTTTCAATAGATGAGATTTATCATGACTTTTTAAGTAAAAAAACATTAATTATATTTAATAAATATAATACATAAACAAATATCAACTATCGAAAGTGGAGAGATAAATGATTGAAATTTTGTGTAATTGTATATGTAAATAGATCTCTACTATATAGATAAGAAAATCGAGATTCATTCACACATAAGTTTTACACGTCACACTTACATAAAATCTCAATTATTTATCACTTCACTTTTAACAATTGAAATTTTGTGTAGTTTAGTATGTAAAACTTATGTAAATGGATCTCTACAATGATTGATATATTCTCTTATTCAACACATCTCTCAAATAAATTATTATTTTTAGATTTAAATTAAAGGCTAGAAAATTAAAAGTGGTAGATTTTAATAATTGAATCAATGGATGTTATGGAATGTGCTGAATTTTATTTCATTTTTTGATATATTGAACAGTTAACTGGTTGTCAACATAGAGATTTACACAACCTTGACTCAAAATTAATGTTTTTAAGCACTAATCCCTAATTTATTGAAATGACATAATTTTAGAATAATTTCTTCTCTTAATTTTTTGGAAGTAAACGGGCGAACACTATTTATATACATAGTCCATTATTTTAAAATTTAGATTGTAAAATAGTTTGTCAAAATATATAGGAAAAGTGCATATCAATCTCAAATAAAAGAATTAGAGTTCTAATCTCAAATAACATTATTTCATTTGTTAAATGTTGATACTTGTATTTAGAAATCGATTATATAGTCTATAGCAAATAGTGTTTATCAATTCTGACTTACAAAAAAAAAATAAAGTCTTAACCTTAAATAACGTTGTTTTATTTAATTAAGACTTAATTCAAAATTCACAAATTCACCTTATTAAATATGTATACTTGCATTTGAAAACCAAAAACCTAATCCAAAGTATATGATCAGTTTTTTTTAGTGCAAGTATCAACATGTATATGAAAAAAATGAATATTTATACTAACTCTTTAAAAAAAAAAATTAAAATCCTAAGCTTAAATGATATTATTTTATTTAATTAGAATTTAATTTAAAATTTAGAAATACACCTTATTAAGGCTTTGCTTGAAAATGTTTTTTTTTTTTTTTGCTGCTTTAGCTTTTGGTTTCTATTTTTTCATTATTTTAAAAATATATAAAATGTTAATTAAAATAAGGAATTAATGTTAATTCCCTTTACCTTTTAAAAATTAAGATAAAAATTATTCTAAAATTATATCATTTCAATAAAATATTACAAGAAAAAACCAAAAATATTCTACTTCATATTTTAAAAATAGAGTATTTTTAGTCTTTTGTTAATAAGAATTTATTGAAAAGAAATAGTTTTAAAGTTATTTTCCTCTTAATTTTTGAAAGGTAAAGCGAATCAACACAATTCCCTTCAAATAAAAACTAAATAAATTTTATATATTTTATATATCTTTAGGATGTTAAAGAACTAAAAAACCTACAACTGCAGCCACAAACTAGCACTATCAAATTAAGGATAAATGTTGATATTTAGATTTGAAAATTAATTATATAAGAATATATAATTAGTTTTTAAATTTATGTCTCAATATTTAATAAAGTGAATTTTCAAATTTTAAATTGGATTTTCAGTTTAATTCCAAATTTAAAAATTAGTATTTAATAAGATAGATTTCTAAATTTTGAATTAGATTTTAATTAAATGAAGCATCATTATTTAAAGTTAAAATTCTAATTTTTTAAAGATTTGGAATTGATTTATGCACTATCATATATACATATATATATATATATACACACGTACACACACGTGACAATACTATAATTACTATATCATATAGAATTGTAAGTTTACAATTCTACATAACATTAATTGAAATATAACAAAATATTAAATGAGTAAATGCATATAATATAATAAGTAAATCTTTAAATAAAAATAATTATTATATAACGACAAATCATATTGTAAATTTACAATTTTATGTGGTATTGTAATTATAATATTTTTGATATATATATTAAAAAAGTGTATATCAACCTTGACTCTCAAAATAAGTTAGAGTCTCAATTTTAAATTACATCATTTTATTTAATTGAAACTTAATCTAAAATTTGAAAATCTATCTTATTAAATATTGATATCTAAATTTGAAAACTGATTATATTATAATATATAGTTAGTTTTCAATTCTAGGTATTAGCATTTAATAGGGTGAATTTCTGAATTTTAAATTATGATTTTGATTTTTAAATGTAGGTTGAGACTTAAAATTTTTTTAAAAATCACAATTGATACGTATTTATCTCTTTATATATACGTCAGTCTAAATCTATTTATATATAAGTTTTATACATCACATTGACACAAAATCTAAAATTTAAAATATTTATCTTTTTACTTTCAATTATTGAAATTTATTTATATTTATTAAAATGAATTATTTTTTATCTAAAAAATCGTAATAAATCTCAACTATTAAAAATAAAAAGATAAATAATCAATATTTTATGTAAATATAATATATAAAATTTATATATAAATAAATTCTTACTCATATATATATATATATAATTAGGTTGATTCATTGATTAATATATAGAAAATAGAGAGATTACAACCAATTATAATTCTTATGCACCGGCCCAAATAAGCAACATGACCTATATTCATATCATCTAATATTATGCGATGAATGCTGGTGAACAAATCACATTAGTTAAATAAGGATACTAATATAAAGATAATTTTTTATATTTTTTTATACAATTTTTATATATTATTAAATTACTGAATATATTTAATATCATAAATTTTAAATAAATAAAATTAATTATTTAAATAACACATAAGATTATACCAAAAGATAATATAAAAAATTATACCTTAATAAATTTTCCATCAAACAATTAATAAGCCAGGCTCTAGAGGCAGTAATCTGACCAACAGTAGCCCCTATGTCTACCGTAAACTATATCTCATAGGAGATCAATTGCCTTCACCTAATGGGGGATCTACTTTCATTGAATTGAAAATTAATCAATTTAACCAAAACTAGGTGAAGTGCTGCTATCAGAGTGCTTGGAACACTCTAATGATCAAATCAGTAATGAAGCTACACCAAAGACACTAAAGTCAAAACTATATCAGAGTGCTTGGAGTACGGCTACTGAGCTACGTACGTCTCGCAAACCCTAGTCCAGCGTTGCACCAACGGTCCCATAAAATTGATGTTCACAAATCCCGCGCCTTTGCACCATCGCTTGTGAACACCAATCCAAAACTTGCCGACACCAACCAAGTTTTTTTTTTTTTTTTTTTTTCACTGCTAGAAGGTAGCTAGGGCATTAGAAACGTGCACACATGTTGAAAGTCTGTAACACGTGAATAAAATTAATTAAGCATTATATTACATGTCGGTGAAAATCATCTTAATAAAGCTTCTCTTAGTAATTTAATCGA